CCCCATCACTCGATGTTAGCATTATTTTGAGCTCTGTCTTTGCTCAGTGAAGGTTCTGGATTTTGGATTTTGTGGGGGTCGTCTTAGCAGACAGCTTTAGGCAGATTCAGAGGACACTGGGGAGAGGTGGAACAGTAACGGGTTGGGGGCAACAACACTGCTTTGAAGGGACACATTTCAATCTGTGCAATCAAAAGACCATGACCAGTGCACTAACAACACAGCACTTGAGCTGCGTGCCTCAAACACTTTCAGTTTGGATGTGAGATGGCTAGCCACCTGCCCGACTCATACAAATACTGGCTCTTTATTTGCGGGGTCCCATCTTCACAAAGAGGTCCCAATACTATAATTTCACCGAGCTGTGTTAAAAGTTTAGGCAGTGACCTAGAAGAATACAAATCCAGTTAATACTAGTGTTATCCTCATTTTTTACTTGCAAGGACGATAAAACGGCATCTGTCCCTTGGAGGAAACTGGCCCGTGTGGAACCAGGACTTTGGTTTCTCATAACCTTTCTCCTCAAGTTAAGACTTCAGATTATGAGTAGGGATGAACAAAGGCTTTAAAATCCGTGTGCGCTCCCGTTTGTAACGAGAAAAGGGAAACAAAGCTGGGGTTCCCCCGAGCAAAGTGCTCAGTATGTCAAGAATTTACTTAGTTTGTAAAAATCATGATTAGGAACTTGGGGAACGCTTGCTGGGCTAACCGTGGTAAGTGAATCTTGTTGGTGACACCAACCTTCCCTCCCTCAGAATCTCGGAATCAGTCCTGGAGAGGACCCTGTCCCTCTGGTGGACATGAAGGTGTGTGTGAGCATGAGTGGGTACCGTCGCCTAGAGGTCACGTTGGGATGGGTCAGAGGAGTGGCCTGACACCTTGAAATACGCTCCAAGGCAAGTGTGCAAACGACAAGGACGAAAAGTCACTAGTTTTGCACTGGTGGCGCGGTGGCTTCTCAGGAGGGACAAGGCAGCGGGGTAGATGTTTCCCGCCCCATGTGGTTGGCTGAGCGCAGGAGAGGAAGTTATCTTAACGCCAGGTACCAAACCCAGTTAGAAATAGAGGAGTGGGGGTCGGGTGGGGGGCGGGCCGCGGGAGCTCGAAAAGAAAGAGCAAGCGAAGCGGAAGTTTCAAGGCCTCTGCGAGGGATAACAGTATAAATAACCGAGGGCGTCTTGTAAACACTGCGGTCATAACCCCGAACATTAAACAGCCGCGGTGGCATCTGGCGCATCGCCGCGGCGGTGGGAGCAGGGCAGTGGGAGCAGGGTCCCAGGCTCCTCGGCCTCGCTTCATGTTTATCTCAACCTAATCTACCCCAATAAGCTGTTCCTCAGCCTGGAAGATGTTTAAGTTAAGATCCGGTCTGCCGGAAGTCTTGGCCGGAGCAGAACGCAAGGCGTAACCGCACCCGAAAAGTAGGTTCGTGCGGTTAGTGTTGCAATTAATTAATTATCAGTAAGAAACAAGCAAAATATCTTCTGCATTTAGAATTCACATGTAGCTCCAATCCCTTCTTCACTGGTTTGAAGTTTTTATTTTTTTTTAAATCACAGCCGCACACGTAAAGTTATAAAGCTTTCGTAGTTTATTTTTCCGTTTTTCTGAACAGTTACTCTATAAAATAGTGGAGAGTTGGATTTTCTTTTTCTTCGTTGTCCTCGACTCTGTGTGACTGGGTGGCTATAACCCTGCTTATTCACTACTTACAGTTATAATGTTTTTAGTGTGCTTAAAATAACTGGGAAGAAGAACTCTTAAAACTTTTTGGTAGGAAACATGACGTTTTTCTTAGGAATCGGAATTAATCTTTCACTAGAAGTTTGGATTAAATGTTAAAAGAACTACTTTTTAAAAATCATTAAACATTCTCATGCTTTCCACTGTTCTTCACAGTTTTTAAAAGAAATCACACCAATGCCTAGGCTTTTTAGCAATATAAAGGAAGATTTATTTTCGAAAGTAGCAAAACCTGTTTGAAAAAAATATATATTTCTTTGAGTGACTTACTTTATAAATGTGACTGTCAAAGTCAGCTATTCTATGATCTACATTTTACAACATATTGTACAAAAGATACACATTGATAGGCTCTTATTATCTATTTATATAATATATATAATTACATATTGCACTTGGACCAGCCAGGCTCGCAGTCATTCATGGCAGAAGTTAATAAAGTTAAATAGATGGGAATCTGTAAGTACAGTTGGTCTCCTTTGGTTTGGAAACGAATCTCCTCGTCGCGGTTAAGTGTTCTCGCGGGGTAGGATGGGGAGAGGAGCAATGCAAGGATGCAGCAGAGACAGGGAGGGGAGGGCAGGGGTCGTCGCCCTCGCTGGCCCCCTGCCCCCGGAGCGCACGGTTCCCAGACTCGCACCTCCAAGGTCAGGACGCGGTGGTTCCACACAAGCGACTCGCGGTCACCACTTCCTTCAAGTCACTGTCGGGCTTGCCAGCCACCATAAAGGGCCACGTCTGCAAGAGGGAAGAGGGCGGAGGAGGTAAGTACTCTTGGGCAGGGGGAGGGGTCAGCCCGAGCCCCAGTTACAGGAGGGGCGCCTGCATGAGGGCGAGGAGCACCCAGGCCGCGGGTCTGCAGCTTACTAGGTGTAAACTGGCAGGACAAAGCGCGCAGCTCCAGAGATGGGGAAGGACTTTGAAACTGTGGCCAGAGAGATCTCATACTGGGTTCTGAGTGGAACCCTTAAACGAAGTCCAGCCACAGCCTCAAGGCTCTAGGGGTCTGAGCAGGGCGGTGGGGAGCATTACTACCTTAGCTACCAGCTGCTGGTCTACTGGGGCACTGGTCCAGCATCCTGGCCTTCTGGCCTTTATTGACTTTCATTTCTCTCCCTGCAATCCTAGCTATGACCACAACTTTAAGTAAATCAGTATCCCAGAAGGGGTGTGTGCGTTAATAAAAGATACAGTGGTATTTTGTGTAAGATTCCTCTACTACCGAGAAAGCAAAGCTCGCGTCTTTCCTTTCTTTCTTCTTCCTTTCTCTGGGCAATAACATATTTTTTAATACTTAAAGATGGAAGTGGCAGCAATAATAAATGGTCTGATCAATAATCTCATTCTAGATTTAGATCGTAAAAGCGGCTACTCATCACACTAAAAAAATAAACTTTTATTTGGAGGGAAAATATTTTTCCTGGCAAAATGTGTTTTAGCATCCCCTCCCCCAGTTCCTGAGAGCATCTGAGACAGCTCAAGCCTCTCTGTAAGTGCTGGCCTGAGGGACATCTCATCCTTATCATATGTAAACAAAAGTCGTAGTAAGGTGGTGGTATTTTCTTTAGAGCCTGCACGTTTTAAAATGAAATCAAACGAAAGACTAAGTCAAAAAAAGAAAGAAGGAAAGAAAGAGATAAAGAAAAAGAAAACCCTAAACAGTAAACCGCCTCTGAGAAAATTGATTCAGTAATCAGCATTTGTTTTTCAAAAACTAGGCTCGGTGGACACGAGTTATTAAGGTAAAGTCAAGCGGCTCTTCATTGTGACTGATCGGACCTATGACTTCAATTCTACTCAGCACAAGGAAGACCTGGGCGGATTTACTGATTATGTTGACAGTGGCTGGAATTTCTGGGATTTAAAAATGGTAATCTACTTAGTCAAGCACACAGTATCCAAGTAGCTGAGGTATTTGCATTGACAGTTATGGAGGCGGAGGAACATAAATATGTCTGCATTTAATAGCCCTAAATATACCCGAGGACAGAACGGAGATGGCTGTTTACAAGAATCAGAAGCAGAACTTAAGTTTTGCTCCTAGCTAAAAGAGGTATAGTCAGATGTCCTCTGGGTGCCTAGCATCTTGTCAGTTTCACGACAGCGGAAATAGCGCTGGCACCCTTCGCGGGGATCCCTGGTCTTTGCCAGCTGAATACCCTCGGAAATCCCTTAATGGGGTGCCACGTCAAACCCGTGCACAAATCACTCTCGGGCTCGCAGCACTCGGTGCCGAGAGCCAGGGCGCTGCGTGGAGCCCGCACGGAGGTCCCCAGAAGTGGTAGGCCAGCGGTAGCCACGGTGTCACCGGATTGCCCGCGTCCCCAGGCCCAGCCAGCAGCGCGGGAGAACTCACCAGGTTGACCGGGTGAATGTAACCGTTCTCGTACTTGTCATTGGCCAGGATCTGCCTCAAGTGCGCGATGTAGCTGGATGCCAACCTGAGCGTGTCCAACTTGGAGAGCTTGGTGTCCGGGGGCACCCAGGGCAGGGTGGTCTTGAGCCTGGAGAAGGCCTTGCTCAGAACCCGCATGCGGGCCCGCTCGCGCGCGTTGGCAGCGTTGCGCTGGACCTGCTTCCCCTCCTGGCTGACCCCGCTCAACGGGCTCTTCTTGGTGGGCGCCTTCCTCCGCTTGCCCAGGCCGCCGCGACCCTTCTGTGGGGACCCATTCTCGCAGTTGGAGCCCTCCTCGGTGCTCTCGTTGGAAGTCACAAACTCCTTGTTGGAGTCCACTTTCAGGGAGTCACAATCCAGCATCTCCACTTCTTGAAGGTCTTCTACATCGCTGAGGGAGCCCGTGGACATGTTTAGAGGGGGGAGGAGGGAGTGAGGGGGAGAGAGAGGCGCTGGAACTAAAGGGTCTTTAAAGTGTGGAGCTCCCACTTCGTGTGTTGGGGTTCGAGTTGCGATCTGGCAGCTTGGTCTCACAGTTTCCCCTTTGCAGAGTTGTGGAAGCCACCACAAGGGATCCTGCGACAGGGAAACCAGTGCTCTATTTCCACACCCCCGGAGTCCTGCCTGGCCTTAATGGAGAGTGAGAGAGCGCCGAGGAATTTGGTGAACACTAGGAATTTATCTGGGGAATAGAGAGGCGGATCCATGCAGCCCAGGGGAGGGGCCTGCTAGGCCCTGCAGACTTCCTAGACCCCTTTCAGAAGCACTGGACTCTCAGGCACAGACGCGGGTTTCCAGCAATCTATCGCCAACAAGCATGTACCAGTTTCCTTCTTCCAGTCTGGCCCAAGCCAAGGGGCTATCAGCCCTACTCAGAGTCCTTGCCTCTGTTCACCTCCTAGGGCCCCCTTTCCTCCAAGGGAATCTCAACTAACCATTACTGAGAACCTTCGAGAAATGGCCAGCTCCTTTGCTCTTCGTGAGCCTTCCCTCTAAAACATCTCACGGACACCGCCCCCCAACACCAATTAAAATCCAGCTGCCCCTGGCTAATACCCCATAAGAACACAGGGCTTTCTGAAGATACCGTTCCCATGTACTGGATGATATCCACGGTTGTAAGACCTATCATTCACGATAAAGAGAGACTTACTTTACTCAGTAAGTCGTGTCCAAGGAACCAAATTTTAGAAAAGCAAATGCCGATCACTGAGCCGATTTTTTCTTTCAGATACATTTTACTGTTTAAATTTACCTGAGGTAAACTGGGAAAGGAAGTGTTTCACAGAATCTTCGTGGTACTGGATTATAGAAAGGAAGAAAGAAAAACTCAGAAAAAGAAAATCCATTAATATACTGTCAATTTGAAGGTACCAGGGAACCGCTAGTGCATAGGAACACACTTGACCATTAAGTGCACATGTACACACACACACACACACACACACACACACACACACACACACACACACAGTTGACTGGGGATGATGGGTAGGGAATGAGAGAGGCCATATGGATTGGTGGAGCGTACTTTGCTAGCTGAGAATCTTTTCCCAATAAGATGAAAACTTTGTTGCAAATTCTTGCCAGAAGCTAGTTCCACGGGATTTTAAAAAGTCAGCCACTCGCAGACCTCCCTTTGCCTGACCACTTTTGCAGAAACTGTCGATTTCCTGCTCATGCAGCTGCCTTTCTCTTCTCCCATCCCTTTGGTTACCAGGGTTCCACAAGGACAACTGCCTTAAGAAAACACCAACCGAGAAGGGACCATGGCTTTGGGAAAGGACCAGTTTCCACCCTTAACTTCATCAGCGACCATCTTTCTCAGGGAATGAGATAATCTTCTGGTGGGGGGAGGGTAAGAAGAAAAGCAAAGGGAAACAGAAGTCAAGGACCGAATAAAATGGATGCCAAGAAACCAGGGAGATGAGATTAAAAAAAAAAACTGTCAGATTGTTTTTTTTTTTTTGTCTTACAATTAGACACTGAGGATGGGACAGGAGCAGGATACAAGAGTATCTCTCAGCATCCGACTCAGAGTCCAAAGTCTGTTCCACTCATATCTGTGTCTTTAATCCAAGCTCAGCTGGGAATTCACTAACCTCTAAAACTTTGTTTTGTTAGCAGAGACTTGTTTGCTTTTCCCCATGCTGTAAACTAAACAGATTGTCAGCAAATCAGTCTTTATTAATGAATTAGTGAACCCTCTCCCCCCATAATATCTTTCCTGAGGATCCAAAATTTGTTAATCACCAGTGTAGAGATTTATGAGCTCTTATTTTCTGTTGTTTGTGCAGGTGGAGATTTAAATGACCATATCCACTCCCAAGATTTATTGCAAGAGTGATTGATGTTATAAACCAGGAAAGGACTCTTCCCACAGCAGGGATGACAGAAATATCAAGTTGAAGTTGCCTTTGTCTTCATGCATAAGTGAACCAGTGCTGCTACACAGACAGCATTAAGAGAACACCCACCCAGCAAGCTTGCTGGAAGGCTTCCTGCTGGTTTCCAAAGGAACCTTTTTTGATTTGCCCAGTGCCCATTTCTCAGTTCCAGTAAGACATGGACTCTATTAGCCACAAGACTAAGGAGCTTGTGGGATGTGTGTGTAGAAACCGAGCTGTCTGCAAAATAGTCACAAGTCCTTATTTGCATTATAGAACTACATGACAAGTAAGAATACTGACTATGGCCTTATCACCAAATTGTTAAATTGTGGAAACTTTTTATTTTCATTCTTGGGGCCCCACCCCATTTATCCTTTTTCATTTTGGGGAACAGTGTCAGCCACAGAAACACATTCCTTTGAAGACTGCTGCTTTTTTTTCTTCCAGTGTTAGAAACTTAAAAATAGCAGTTTCTAGAAGGGAGCACAGCTAGTCATTCTATCATAACCTAGCTTTTATGACTGCAATTAATTTTTCTTTATAGCAATGTAAGCAATAATTAAGTCTCCTGTCCATTTATCTCTCAGTGATACATTCAGGCTGGGAAGGGCTGGCGGATTGATAATGAGGCTTGAGAAATTTCTGAATTTTTGCAAGAAATGAACACCAGTTTGGGGATAGATGTGAATGAAGAAGGTTGCCACTTAGGTATCTTGATGCCAAATTCTGAAGAAAGAAAATTATTAACACATTTATTTTCTCTTGAATTTTGCATCTATCTCCGTTAATAAACATTAAGGGACAAATGAATGGAGAAAAGTGACTGATTGTTGGATTCCACTGAACAAATCAGCTAGGCTGTAACTTAAGCTCTGCCAAATGCCCCCCTCCCCAAATATAAACTATATTCTGTGAGAAGAAAAGCACTTTGGAGAAGCTAATTAACCCTTACAACAACGGGAGGATTGCTTTGAATGTGGCCATTCACAGCAGTAAACAGAAATGCCTGCTTTAAACACAGGTGATAGACCCATCCTTACCTTACTTTTAAATCACAGCTCATGTCCTGGCGGCATCTGGCCAATTTATCGCACACACACTTCTAACAATTTGTTTTGCTAGAAAGGCTGTCTTTGAAAGATCTTAATGCTAAGGAAAATTTATCTCCCAACGTTGTAAAGTGAAGATTAGGGACGGAATGTGTCCTTGAACTTCAATCTTGCTTTAAGCAGCTGATGCATTTCCAGGAAGTTAATATTTGATTCAGTTGCACTTGGATGATTTGCTTCCTTTATTATGGGAACGAAAACATCACTGGTTTCTTTTGAACTGAATTCTGTGCCATAACTTCATGTTATAGGGGTTGGGAGGAATCTCCCTTTAACCTGAATTTTTTATTCGTTCCTTCTACTCCCAGCACCGGGCTAGAAGGATCCTGGATAGCAAATCACCGAAATGGTGCTTACCAGTCTTCTATATTATCAGTGAATTGTCTGTAGATCAGTTGCCACAGCACTAGGATTTGTGGCTGGCAGATGGTAATAATAATAGCTAGAGAAAGAGTCTTTGTGGTTCTTTGGATCTAAGAGTTAATCTTGCACCCCACATTTCTTATTCCATATGACCTGTAAAGTAGGGTCCTCCTGCCACTCAGCTGGGTCTTTATGCAGCTCAGGCTATCCTGGAACACCCTATTGTAGCCCAGGCTATGTCTTCTGCTTTCTGTTTCCACCTCTGGAGCACTGGGGTCACAGGCCTGTGCCACCACTGGGAGCTTCTATTGTGGTTTGGAAGGCAGCTCAGCCCGTACAGTTGAAGGTCTGGGTTTATTCTAGGGAGCAAACAATCTGAATGAAAACCAGGCATCAGGAGACAAACACTTCACGAAGCCAGGTAATATCCTGTTTTCTAATACCAAAGGACAAAAATGATGGAAGAACTTCCAAGCTGCTTTTCACAAGGGATGCTTTGTTTTCATTTTTCAGTTTTTAAGCATCATTTCATTTTTGGGGAGTGGTCCCTTGTAAAGAAAAATCGACTATATGAAATTGAAATATTTATTAAAACATGTTCCAGAGACTCTTCTGGGTAACAATGGATTGTAGAAAAGTAGGTCGTGACTACTGTCTTGTACCTTATCATCAAGTTTGAAAGTGAAATTTTCTTAATTTCCTGAGAATGAATCTCGGGGGTCATACAGGGGATATCTCTAAATTGTACATTAAATACGGTTTATTTATCTTACATGTTTTATAATATATATTACATTGTATGTACCTTGTATATTAAGTACAGTTGCTTGACGGACATGAGTAAAAACAGGTAAACCTGTGGATGGGGTCCTTCCTGTCAGGTTAGGAGAAAGTGGGCTGAGGCACAGGTTAGGATGAGGATGGACCCTGGGACAAGCTGACAAGTTCTGAGAGAGTGAATCCTGACCTCAGGAGCATGAACTAGTTCCAGCTACTATCTCATTTTAAATAGAAGCATATAGTAATGTATTGGATTGGCCAAGGGCCAAAGAAGACTCATGGGGTCAAAAATTCTCTTTCCATGAGATGTCAATGATGGTATTGCCATTGAGTCTGTCTCCTGGTTTGCCTTGTAATGCCCCTTCCACAAAGCCATGGTGCTTTGGATGTTTTCTTCCCTTTTGAATAATTGTAAAAATAACTATGAGGAAGTTTGTACTGTTATGCCCTGTTTCTTAACTAGAACTAGTAATACTTTAGCACTGACTTATATCCAATGAGATAGACACGGACTTCCCTGGTGAATGAATCTTAGAGACCTGTTTAAAATGATTCAGCAGCACATATGCTGAAAGGACTTCATTAAAAGAAAACATTTCTTCTCTACCAAAGAGGCTAGATAAGCAATCCAAGGGCTATTCATTCAAGAAATCTATACCTACACCCACTCTCTTTCCACTTCTACTCTCTGCTAGACTCCTGTGGAAGGCACCACTGGTTCAATGGTTACCATAGCCTGTTTGTTTGCTTGTTTGGTTTAAGATAAGATCTTATGTAGCCCTGACTAGCACCGAACCTCACATGTAACCAGGTCCTTCTGCCTGCATTTCCTAAGTGCTGAGACTACTGATTGCTCTGATGCTTAGTTTATGCTGTGCTGGGGAAACGACTCAAATGAGCACTCTCCCCACCGACTCACAGTTCTAGCCTTACAGTAGTCAGTCTCTCTCCCTTTTCAATTATTTTACTATGAGTGCTTTGCTTGCATGTAGTAGGCATGTACGGCAGACAGTGCCTGGTGCTTGCAGAGGTCCCTGGAACTGCTTCCAGATCCCCTGGAACTGAGTAAGATGGTTTTGAGTCACCATGTAGGTGCTAGGAGTTGGATCTGCAAAGACAGTGCTCTTAACCAATGAGCCATGTCTTCGTCCCTGCAGCAGCAGTCTCTTAAAGTGTCCTTTCCTTTCTATTCCTGTCCTCTTCAAATCATTTCCAGCAGGGAGATTTATGTCACTTTACTGATTAAATCTCTCCATGCTGCCTGTTGTGTCCCAAATGAAATCCCAGTATCCCAGTGTCGTTTCCCTGCCCCCCCTTTTGGTGTGGCTGGTGTGACTTTTTACTTTTCTTACCACACCCCAAAACAAACCATGCTGACCACATCCTTGTCCCTCCCTCAACCAGTGTCACTTTGTGACCTTTGTCCCCAAGTTTTTCTTGTATGGATGCTTTTGTCTGGCTCTCTGTATGTCTGAGTCCTTATTTTAGGACAAAACTCAAGTGCTGTCATCCATGAGAGAACTCCCTTGAGTGCAAATTAAGAACATTTTTATTCCATCATCTAATTTTATTTTTTGAGACAAAGTTTCAACTGTGTAGCCCAGGCCAGTCTGGAACTCACGATGCAGTATAGACTTTTGTCCAACTCATTACATCCAATCTGCTTCAGACTCCCCAGTTCTAAGATTATAAGCCCAAGCTATCAAACCAGTCTCATAAATCATTCTCCTTTATTACTCTTATGTGTGTGTTCACACTCATACAGTGGTGTATATATGGAGGTAAGAGGTCTTCAGGCTTACACAATAAACACCTTTACCCACAGAGCAATCTCACTGGTCCATCCATCATCACATTTTACTGTTTATTTTTATTTTTTTGAGACTGGGTTTCTCTGTATTGTTTTGCAGGCTGTCCTGGAACTCACTCTTTAGACCAGGCTGGCCTCGAAATCACAGAGATCCACCTGCCTCTGCCTCCAGAGTGCTGGGATTAAAGGTGTGTACCACCATCACCCAGATGCATTTTAGTTATTAACAGTGAAGGATAGCATCTAACATTTATTAAGTTGTTACCGTATACCCTAATATACTGTTGTAGTCTTTTCTGGATTCACTCTTCTAGTTATCATCACAGCCTTACATGAGATGAGCCTTGTAGATGAGAACATGGGGCACAGAGAAAAGAAACATGTAGGTCTCTGAGTTTATCCTCCAGGTATCTGTTTCTGGGCCATAATTTGAATCAGTGATGTAAGTTCTTTTATTTCTCTTGCTACTGTGGGTAGACAGGGCTCAACTCTGTGCTTC